AACCTTGGCAAAATCGAACTCTTCTCTGACATTGTTCTGTTTTCACCAACTTTCTACCTCAGATTTGCCTTTTCCTTTTTAAAAAACTTATTTATTGGGGCCGGTGTTGTGGTGTGGGTAAAGCCTCCACCAGCATCCTATGTGAATGCCACTTCTAGTCCCAGCTGCTCCAGTTCTGATCCAGCTCTCCTATGGCCTGGGAAAGCAGTGGAAGATGGCCCAAGTCCTTGGGCCCCTGCACCCACGTGGGAGACCTGGAAGAAGCTCCTGGCTCCTGGCTCCTGGCTCCTGGTTTCGGATCAGAACTGTTGTGCTCAATTGGAGAGTGAACCAGCGGGTGTAAGACCTCTCTCTCTCTGCCTCTCCTCTCTCTGTGTAACTCTGACTTAAAATCTTAATCTTAAATTAATCTTCAAAAAAAAAAAAAAAAAGACTGTCCTCACCCATAACTGACCATGTCCCAGGTCCTAACAAGATCCCCGTGTGACTGCACATTAAGGTTTGGTTACCAGGTGGTAGCTGGGGTTTCATTTGTTGTCTTGGCTCACTTTGGTTCTCCTTGCCCTTCACTAGCCACTGAGAAGTGAGGGCTCTCACCCTGGTGTGATGACTCAGACCTTCATTTCCCAGTTGTCTGAGTCATTATTGGTAGGCACAGGATTGGTGGCAGCTGCAATTACCTTTACTCTGGGGGTGCCACAGTATGGGTAGAGAGAAAGAAACTTGCTCAGGTCCTTGCAGTCAGCGGGTGTTGCCTGGCATAGTGGGGGGAAACGTTTTAAAGTTCCTGCCTTGTTACTTAGGGGATTTCAGTGTGAACTGAAGACATCTGCAGGAGAGGATTGTTAGGAGGATTAGCATAATGTGCTGATATGATCATTCCTGCACAGGGTAGGGACTGACCTCTGCCCCTTCCCCTTCCTAGACATTTGGCTCCAGGTTCACTTCCACTGTTTGAAGGGGCTGGCTTCTCCGTGCCAGAGCCTCACCCTTCCTCATTAGACCAGGAAAAGGGCAGTACTGTTGACTGCAGGTTGCAAAATTCCCACTGTTAGCCTTTTGACAATCTTAGCCCTTAGTACCAGCCGTACCATTAGTGCAGATGCCGGAACTGCAGACCCGAGATCCCCGGGAGGGAGCTGGGCTGTGCAGCTGCGGGAGCTGGAGGTGGAGTTTTCCACCATGTGATCTTGGTTTTCTTGTGGATGTTATAAAACTGCTCACTGGCAAGGGCTCAAGACAGTGAGAACTGAGCAAAAGTTGAGTCTCCAGAAGAATGCACTAGGTCCCCTGATATGTGGAAGGTGAGTGTCCACTGTCCTCTCACCAGTTCCTCGGTCACAGTGGAGCAGCTTCGTTCTTGGCCTCACTCTGCTTGGGCCCCAGCTGATAGGAGCAGCCTTCTCTCTTAATGGTTGTCCTTGTTTCAGTGGCTGCTGGTGCACACATTGGATTTTTGTATTCATCTTTAAAAGCAGGAGAATATGTAGATGACAGTCACCCTGGATCCCGAGGGCACCTTAGGTCCTGGCCCCAGGCTCCTTGGCAGGCCCACCCACTCAAGTCCCATTTGAATGAATAGCTTCTTCAAGTGTCCTGTTTTCTAGTGAGTAAGTTAAAGTAGGGAATAAAATGGGCAGGTTGGAAAAATAATTTCAGGAAATTACAATTTCATATGGAAAAAAAAAAAACAAAAAGAAGAAAACTAAAGTGGTTATCTTTTTCTTTTTCTTTTTTTCAAGTTTATGTATTTGTATTTATTTGAAAGGTAGAGCAAGAGAGATCGGTCTTCCATCTCCTGGTTCACTCCCCAAATTTTGGCAACAGCTGGGGCTGGGACATGCCGGAAACCAGGAGCCAGGAACTCCATCCAGGTCTCCCGGTGGGTGGCAGGGACCCAAGTACCTGAGCTGTCGTCTGCTTTCCAAGGTGCCCATCATCCAGAAGCTGGGTTGGAAGCAGAGGCAGGATTCCCTCTTCAGTACTCAGAGGTGGGATGTGGTATGCCCAGTGGCAGTGTAACCCTCTGTGGCACAGTGCCCAGCCTAAAATGCTCCTCTGTGGATAGACTGACTGTGAGTAACATATCTTTGCTTTATTCTGTGGTTTCTGTTTTCTAAAGTGAGCAATGCTGTTTTTATTATAGGAGGAAAAGACTCTTAAATTACCATTTCCTTTTTAAATATTTTTTATTTATTTGAAAGGCAGAATTACAGAGAGAAAGGGAGAGACACACAGAGGTCTTCCATCTGCTGGTTCACTCCTCAGGTGACTGGAACAACTGGGTTGGGCCAGGCATCAGCCAAGAGTTAGGAGCTTCATCCAAGTCTCCCACATGGGTGGCCATCTTCTGCTGCCTTCCTAGGCACATTAACAGGGAGCAGGATAGGAAGTGGAGTAGCTGGCGCAGGAACTGGCACCCATACAGGATGCCATCATTGTAGGTGGAGACTTAACCAGCTGTGCCACAACACTCGCCCCCTTAAATTACCACTTTAAATATCAGATAAGTAGTAAAGTGTCAATGAAAAGTAGCAGTTTATTATTTAATTAATAAACAGAAAGTCAGTAGATCCCAGAGAGGCCAATATTTTGAGAGTTAAGTGAGTACTGTGAAACAGAATTGTAGATGCTGCCTGAAATTTGTTATGTAAGAATCAAGGCCATCTAATTTTGTTTTGAAATGTGACAGGTATGAAAACAAAATAAAAATTCAACTTCTGGGCATTCAGTAGCTCAATCAAGTTAATAGGGGGCCTGGGACCTAGGAAAAGTACTGTCTTATAGAGAGATTAAGTTTCATCCAGTTTATGCTAATAGGTGGCTCTTGTGTTTGAAATGCTTGTGATTAACATGTGGTGTCTGAGTACTCCCAATTCATGCTATGGTCCCTGGAATAAATTACAATGCATTGGTTTGCCCTAATGTAGTCATAGTTGAGACTTTAGTTCACTTTAGTGTGTTGGTCAGTAGTGGCTAAAGTGTGGCCTGGAACACTTCCTTCTGCACGCCATCCGTCCTATCACTGGAGGGGAGACAGAAAAGTAGATTCATAGAATAGACCAAAAAAAAAATTTTTTTTTTAAAGCAAGATTTACTTAAGTCAGAGAACTCCGGCAGAGTGGCCTGGAGTGGGGCTCCAAGAGAGGAAAAACCTGAAGGGGCTGGCAGTACTGGGATTTTTTAAGCACAATTTTGGAGAAGAAACTGTCAATCAGTACAAGGTAGGGACAAAACCATCAAAAGACCTAATTTACATTTTTTTTTTTACCCTGTCTGGCTTGCTCATGATAAAACAAGAGCCATCAGAAGGGGGGCATACCTAATTTGTTTTACAGTAAACTGAGAGCACAAAAGGAATCATCACGCCCTTGCTATTCTCATGGGACCAGTACCTTTTGAAGGCTCTCTTTGATTTGTACCAATCAAAGGTAATTGACCTTTCTCTGAACTTCTGTGTCCCTTCTTTTTATTTATCGTTTTATGAATTGCTGTCATCTCTCTATTCTTGACTAAGCTCCTGGGAGGTAAGGACCTTTGTGTCTTCCATAGCGCTTTGCCCAGTGGATACTCAATAACTGTTTATTAAATGGCTAAATCCTCAATGCATTGAATTAGAATTTTTCCTGAGTTGATGATGAGTACTGGGCAAGGACAGAGGGATGGAGCCTGGAGCTTTAAAATCTCAGTGGGAATCACTTGCTGGCAGCATTCAGTGTTTGCAGCCTATTGCCAATGCTTCCTGCACAGTGCATGGAGAAAAAATTTATGGTTTATTATCCTGCCTGCCTGCCTCCCTCCAACTTCCCCCATCTCTCTGAACAACCCAGTCTGCTCCTTCTCTGTATTATCTATTGGTTGTCTATTGCTGCATAAACAAATCACTCCAAAATAAAAACACATTTTAAAAAATTTATTTTATTTGAAAGGTAGAGTCACAGAGGGTGACACACACTCACACACACACACACACACACACACACACACACACAGCTTGCATCCTCTGGTTCATTCCCTCAATGGCTACAGTGGCTGGGGCTGGGCCAGCCTGAAGCCAGGAGCCTGGAACTCTATCCAGGTCTCCCACATGGGTAGCAGGGGTCCAAGCGCTTGAGCCATCTTCCTCTGCTTTCCCATGTGCATTAGCAGGGAGCTAGATAGGAAGTAGAGCAGCCAAGACTCAAAGCAGTGCTCATACAGGATGCTGGCATTATAGATGGTGGCTTAACCTACTACATCACAATGCCAGCCCCCCAAACAAAGCTATTTATTATCTCTCCTGTTCTTAGATCAAGAATTAGGAAGCAGGCTTGGTAGGGTGGTTTTGGCTTAAGGTCTTTAAAATGCAGTCTCTAGGACTACAGTCGTCCAAACTCTCTTTTAAAAAAATTTTATGTGTATAATTATATATATAAAGGCAAAGTGACAGAGATCTTGCTCCCACTGGTGCACTCTCCCAGACCACGATGGCCATGGCAGGGCCAGGCTGAACTCTCCTGGTGTCCCACTGCAGGTCTAATCATGGTGCTGGTCAGGCCTATCCTCTCATCTGGAGCTCAGCCAAGGGAGAGTGTGCTTCTAGGCCCCTGTTCCTTGCAGATTACTGGACTGAGGGTCTCAGTTTCTTGCTGTCTTTCAGTTATAGATTCCTTGTCCTCTTCAAAGCCAGAGGGAAGAGGCTATCTCTGTACAAGACAGACGTTACTGTATTATGTAATGTACTTATGCCCATTCCATCACTTTGCCATATTTTGTTGGTTGAAAGCAAGCGCAGGTCCCAGCTATACTTAATTGGGGCTGGGGAGGGGGGTGCTGTGCAAGGCTGTGAATGCCAGGAGGCAAGGCCCACCGAGGCTGCTTTAGCATCTGCCTGCTGCGGCCGTGTCTTCAGCACCGTGAGCTGGGCAGCCTGCCGTGAGCTCTGATGTTTGAGTGAGTTTTAGTTTAGTGCTCCTGTTCTGTTTCCTGCTCCTGGCTTACGCCGTCTTCCTCTGTTTCAGAGTTACTAGTCTACTCTCGCTTCACCTCCACTCGTAGCCGGCCTCATGGATGAACTTCAGGATGTGCAGCTCACGGAGATCAAGCCACTTCTCAATGACAAGGTAAGGACCACTCTGTTGGCACTAAGTACAAGTCTTTTCATCTGATATCAGTTCTTTTTTTATGTCATCTCAGTCGTAAATAGCCCCAAATATATGTAGCTTGACTCTCAGTGGAGGGGATACTTTAAAAAATTTATTTCTTAAGTCCTTTTTTGATGTTTTCCCTCCCTTTTCTTTCTTCCTACTTCACTTTTCAGGGGTCAAATTCAGCCAAGTTGTCTTTGATGTTTTCCTATTTATAGATACAAATGTTAAGGGAAAAAATAATATGGCAAAGTTAAGTAGGTATTATAAAGTAGGATTTGACCATGAATCTGGGGGTCCTGACAGGCTGCAACACTCTCCCCAAAGCTTGTCAGGTCTGTGATGAGACTTCCCGTCACCATCATGGTTTCATCAGGGACATCAGCAGTGTCCCCCACTTTTATATTAGTGTTGGAGGACCAACTGTGTGACGGGTGGCATGGATGATGGCTGCCAGGACTCGCAGGTGAGGCGTGGGCTGATAGGAGTCACCAGGAAAGGAAGGAAGGCTCATCTCCTCCTCTGTCCCTCTGTGTTCAGTGAAAGGGTCTGCAGTTTCCTGTTTCCCGGTGTCTCCTCTTGGTTTATTGTCATTGTTCCCTATTAAAATACTCTCATAGCTGGGTGTTAATGAGTCAACAGCATTCTTTCCTGGGAGAAATGTTGACAGACAGCAAGGAGAGAGCTGGGTGAGGTTGAGGGGGCGGGGGGTGACACCAGAAGAGGCTGCTGCTCACTGTCCTTGCTGCCGGGAGCGAGGCCCTTCACCTTCCGGGGCTGCTGATCTGTGCTGTGGTGCTGATTTGCTGTTGCTTCCAGCCAGTTCTGTCTTCATCCCTGTCACTTCTCTCAGTTCTCCTCCCACCCCTTCCTTTATCTTTCACTGGGCATCTTCCTCCTTTGCTTGGCAAATTGCACATTTTTAAAATCCCCATATAGTTTCTCCTGCTGCTTCCCCTCCTATTTCCGGAAATCTCTCTCTTAAGTACCATCTTTTTTTAGTATGTGAAGGAGTATCCCAAAATGTTGTGCCATGAAGCAGAGGAAGGGAATAAAACCAGGATCTGTAAACATCATGCATAGCCAGGGCCGGCACTGTGGTGTAGTGGGTTAAGCTGTCACCTCTAGTGCTGGCATCCCATATGATGCCGGTTCAAGTCTCAGCTGCTCCACTGCCAAACTAGCTCCCTGCTAATGGCCTGGGAAAGCAGTGGCGGATGGCCCACGCACTTGGGCTCCACTCCTGCTCCTACATGGGGGACCAGGAAGAAGCTCCAGAATCCTGGGGCAGAGTGGGAGAGGGGGAGAATGCTGTGACACAGTGGGGTAAGCTGTCACTTGGGATGCCCACTTCCCATATTTGAGTGCCTGGGATCCAATCCCACATGTGCTTCCCATCCGCTTCCTGCTAACATGCCTGGGAAGCAGCAGATGATGGCTCAAGTACTTGGGTTCCTGCTACCCTTATGGAGAACAGGATGGCGTTCCTGCTTCCTGGCTTCATCCTGGTCCAGTTTTGGCTGCTGAAGACATTGGAGGGGGAACTAGTAGATAGACATTCTCTTTCTTCAGGGGCTGGCATTGTGGCACAGTGGGTTAAGCCTCTGCCTGCATCTCATATGGGCACCAGTTTTGCTCCACTTCTGATGTCTGCTCCACTTCTGATCCTGCTCCCTGCTAACATGCCAGGGAAAGCAGCAGAAGATAGTTCAAGTGCTTGGGCCCCCCTCTGCCACCCATAAAGAAGATCAAATGGAGTTCCAGGCTCCTGGCTTAGGCTCGGGCCACCCCTGGCCAATACAGCCATCTGGAGAGTGAACTAACAGATGGTAGATCTCTCTCTCTCTCTCGCTCTCTCTCTTTCTAACTCTGCCTTTCAAATAAATAAATAAAAGAAGTTTTCTTTCTCTTTATGTCTCCCTCTGCCTTTTAAACCAATAAATACATTTTTAAAAAAAACCATTGTGGTATTTTGTTATGACAGCCCAAGTATATTGAGACAGCGAGCAATGTCACTTCTTTTTTAAGGATTTATTTATTTATTTGAAAGGTGCTTGACAGATAAAGAAGGTGGGGTGGGGGAGAAGATGTTCCATCTTTTGGTTTATTCCCCAATGGCTATATAACCAGTTCTGGGCTAGGCCAAAGCCAGGGACCAGGAACTCCATCTGGGTCTTCCATGTGGGTGGCAGGACCCCAAGTACTTGAGCCATCATTTGCTGCTTCCCAGATGCATCAGCAGGGATCTAGATCCAGAGTGGAGTAGCCAGGACTTGAACCTGGATTTTGACATGGAATGCAGACATCCCAAGTGTTGGCTTAACTTGCTGTGCCATAACGCCAGCCCTGCAGTGTCTCACTTCTGGTGTCTGTCATCTCCACTCTGATTTGCCTGTGATGTTCTTACCAGTTCCCCACCTGTGCTTTGCTTCTTCCCTCTCCCCATCTGCACACATGAGAATTCTCTGCTCTGACCAAACAGGGAGATAGATGGGAAGCCTTCTGCATGTGACATTCCCAAACAAGTAATTCCACTCAGTTAGCCACCCTCCCCCTCCCCAGTGTGTAACTGCTTCTGCCTGTGCCCAGCAATGGGTGCTTTTGTGACTGTTGTAAAAGAGATCATAACGATAGTGCTTGCACTCACTGTTGCATTTGATGCTCCCGGCAGCTCAGTGAGGTTGGGAGCACAGATCAGTTTATTCTCATGTTATGAATGAGAATAATGAGGACCAAGGCTGAGAAAGGTGAAGTAGCTTGCTCAGGGTGAGTTCCTCAGAGTACTGTCCCAGTCTGGACACCGCTGGTGTTGGGACTGGATAACCATCTGCTGTGGTGCACTGCTGTGTGCGTTGTAGGGCATTTAGCAGCTTCCTTGGCCTCTACCACTGGATGCTGATGGCATGGCACTCCACCCACAGTTGTGACAAAATGCCTTCAGATGTCGCCGGATGTCCCCCGGGGACCAAGTCGCCATGGTTGAAAACCACTCACAGGGAGGAAAGCGTCCAAGTTTGAACAGGAGCAGATGTATTATGGTTTCTTTTATTTTATTTTTTTCTTTTATTTTATTTTTTTTTTTTGACAGGCAGAGTGGACAGTGAGAGAGAGAGACAGAGAGAAAGGTCTTCCCTTGCCGTTGGTTCACCTCCAATGGCCGCCGTGGCCGGCGCTGATCCAATGGCAGGAGCCAGGTACTTATCCTGGTCTCCCATGGGGTGCAGGGCCCAAGGACTTGGGCCATCCTCCACTGCACTCCCTGGCCACAGCAGAGAGCTGGCCTGGAAGAGGGGCAACCAGGACAGAATCCGGCACCCCGACTGGGACTAGAACCTGGTGTGCCGGTGCCGCAAGGCGGAGGATTAGCCTAGTGAGCTGCGGCGATGGCCCTGTTGTTGCTTGTTAAACACCTTTTATATGCCGGGGGCCTCACATAGTTCCCTCTTTTTTTTTTTTTTTTTTTTTGGCAGGCAGAGTGGACAGTGAGAGAGAGAGACAGAGAGAAAGGTCTTCCTTTGCCGTTGACTCACCCTCCAATGGCCGCCGCGGCCGGTGCGCTGTGGACAGCACACCGCGCTGATCCGATGGCAGGAGCCAGGTACTTCTCCTGGTCTCCCATGGGGTGCAGGGCCCAAGGACTTGGGCCATCCTCCACTGCACTCCCTGGCCACAGCAGAGAGCTGGCCTGGAAGAGGGGCAACCGGGACAGAATCCGGTGCCCCGACCGGGACTAGAACCCGGTGTGCTGGCGCCGCAAGGTGGATTAACCTAGTGAGCCGCAGCGCCAGCCATAGTTCCCTCTTACAGTTCTTAGAGGATCCCTTTGAGGCAGGTGGCAGCGTTCCTCACATAGCAGTTGTGAACTGACGGAAAGGCTGCCTTGCCCAGTCATTGAGTGGCAGAGCTGGGACTGAAACCAGGTTTTCTGGACTCTGACACCTGAGCCCTTTCTGCTTTTGCTGACCCTGTAGATGTTTTGGCATCACTTTCTCTGTAGGAGAAACTTAGAGGCGTGTTTCATCTCATCTCCTCTCTCTCTCTCCTTCCCCTCATAGATACACTGCTAACCAGAGAGGCTGCTGTGCCCTCCAGGCCGCAGGGAGCTAAAGGAAGTGAGGGATCTGTCCTGAGATGACTGGAGGGAGGCATTTTCCATAGAGCTCTGCTCGTGCGGTTTGTGTTAACTTGCCTCGTGTCATCTGCTGGTAGTTTTCCCACTTTATTTTAGTGCGCCTGTCATTTTGTCTCCGGCTCAGAGGTGCAAGATGTGGGCAATTTCGCTGTGCTTGTTTTATTTGAAAGGAGGGTTCATCTACCATCTGCTGCCTCTCTGCTGGCCGATTCACCCTCCTCAGCCAGCAGACCCAGCAGCAAGTGGGAGAGCTGGCTGTGCTTCACCTTCCCTGCCTTCCTCTCCCTGCTGTGGTTCAGATTCTGTGGAGCCAGTGGATGCCTGGAGCCAGGCTTGGGAAGACAAGTCTACAGCCACAGCTGGCTGCCGGAGAACTGAGGACATGTCCACCTCTAGCCAGGAGAATGGAAACAAGCCGTTTACTTTGTTTCGGTGTTACAGTAGAGAGTGAGGTCATCCTTACTGGGTGTTTTCCTTTCTGCTAGTGACAGGTAAGCAGGGGAGAAGATGCTGCGGCTGGAAGGAGGGAACCCCCAAGCATCGACATTTTTCTCTCTTCCAAGAGAGCAGAGGCAGGTGAAGGATTAGGGCCAAAGTCACTTAAAAAATTGCAATCAAAGCCATTTATTTAGGCAGGCATTTGCTGCAGTGGTTAAGGTACTACGTGGGCACCTGCCTCTCATCAGAGTGCCTGGGTTCAGTCCCTGGCTCCGCTCCTGATTCCAGCTTCCTGTTAATGCCACCCTGGGGGGCAGCAGGTGATGCCTCAGCTACTGGCATCCCTGCTACCTGCGTGGGAGACCTGGATTGAGTTTTAGGCTTCTGGCTATTGTGGGCATTTGGG